AGCTCTACATAAGCCTTCTACACCAGCTTATACATAATTCCAGTTAAAGAAAGGGAGACTCACATTTATTTAGTGACGACTCTGTGCCAGGCACTTTTACATACCTTTACTAATTTGAGCTCTTCTGGATTGGTATTATAAATTCTATTTTTAAAATAAGGGAACTGAACTGAATCTGAGTGGTTAAGAACTTCGACCAGGGTCAAAGAAACCAAAATTCGTGTAGTAAAGAATTTCGCTCAGGGTCACGCAAATAAAAAGGAGGAAAGTCACGTGAAGGGCGTAGTTCTTCTCCCTGGATGATACTGTCGAATACGTAGTTCATTTCCAGTGCTGCAAAGAGCGGTGAGCCAGCATTCACAGCGCTTCATGGTTACAGTGATAATTAAACGAAAAGGTTAATAACTTTCCGGATTTCCTGTATCAGACTAAGACGAGGAGTTGGTCAGTTAACTGAAAAACTTGCTCAGAGCACAAAGTTATAAAAACTTTAAAGAACATGTAAATATATATACATATGTCCAATACTTTATTTCAATTAATTATGTAGAAATGCACATCCATTTGCCAAACTTTTGATTAAACTGAGTTCCTTTTTTTTAAATTTTTCTTTCTCAAACTGGGTCTGCTAACTGGAGTTCCACTTCATTTTTCTTCTATAAACAACACAAATTTTTCCTTCAAATTCTATTTGTATTAAGATTGCTTTAAAGCAGTCTGGGTGGAGATTTTTCTTGGGTTGAGACTTGCCTCTCCCATCCCTAATTTGACATAAGCTTTGAGTGACTAATCTTTAGTAGGCTTTCCAAAGTATTTGATTTAGTTTATTTCTAGTCAGCCACATTTATTTTAATAATTACGGTGGATTTTGTAATTACAATAATAAACACAAACTGACTAGGGAATAGCTAAAACCCAACTAAGGGGAGCAGAAACCTGCCTGAGCGTGGGACATGTTATTGTTTAATCTAGATCAGCTGTAAAATAGAGGCCATAAGAAGGATTTACTCAGACAACTGGGGGTCCTATTCACTGTAGAAAAACTGATTTTACAGACACAGTTTAATAGCATTAGGTGGGAAAATGATCTCATGCTCAAAAAAGGTGAGAAGTCACCAATCTAGAAGGCAACCTTGCCCATCTGGTGAGTTAACATGTATGGAGCTTAATTTAAACGAATATTGCTTCCAAATTCTCAAATCTCTTTTTGGTTTTCTTTGGGCTAAAGGCTTCAAGGATACAGGCTAGGAGACTGAATAGAATAACGTTGAAAATGAACTGACGCCACCAACAGACTACACCATGGCCCATGGGTTTTAAGAGGCCCGGGATACTTGAAAGTTTTAAAAGTATGGATCATGGCCCTTGAAGAGGCTAATGTGCTTTAAAATCATTCTGGCACCATTAGTAGACAAATGAAACTCTGCTTGACTACCTTTCAACTTTTTCGTGATTTTCATGGTCATTGGCTACAGTGTAATGGTTTGGTCTTCCGCAGTTAACAGAGTAAATAAAAATCCATAAATATTCCAATGTACTCTGTTTCCAAGACCTACAAAATATGAATTTATTCTTTCGTTATGTTGATACATTTCGATCCCACCCTCCAAATTCCGAAATCAGGAAGGCCCAAATTGCCAAAACTAAGTATCGTGATACCAAAAAAAAATGTAAACATGTAAATAATATCAAAGAGATTACCATACTTGTCAAAATTTATTCTGCTAATTCAGACTCTATTTTGTGAAAGATCTTTTGATTTTTGACTGTTACTTAAATCATTTCATACCTTCTAGACTGCCCAGGAGACTAGAACATATAACAAGTATCTGATGACACATTGAAATTCTCCAAGATTGATCTTTAAGATCTACTACGTTAGCAACACTCTGGAGAAGTCTCTGATACCATCTGCAAAAACAGCTGTCACAGAAGTTGATTCTTAGCTGCCTCTTGAAAGAATGAGGAGGTCTTTGTCCACATCACATATTCACAAATAACGGACACAGTCACTGCCTTAAAGGCTGTGTGAAAATCAGTTCTTTTAATCTTCTCACCAGTGCTAAAATGTCCCTAGGCCAAAATTTCCTCCAGATTTGATGATATTTAAAAGATTTTTTTGCATAGTCTGTTTTACCTTGTGGGCAGAAAACCCACCATCTTTGCACTTGTCTTCAGCATTTTTAGGCAAATGGAATTTATCTTTTTTCATCACAGAATTGATACTAAAATGACCCAGTTAGATACAAGATTTCACAGGCTGATTATGATTGCTGACTGCAAAGGGCAGAATCATGCTTCTTTCCCAAAGATGTCTGTGCCCTAATCCTTAGAGACTTTGAATACGTTAGGTGATATGACAAAGAGGAATTAATGCGGCAGAGGGACTTAATGCTATGAATCAACTAATGTTAAAACAGGGGAGATTATTCTGGGTGAACTGAATGATCCCAGTGTAACCACAGGGTTATTAAAAGTCGTAAGGAAGAAGAGTCAGTGTCAAGGTCATATCGTATGATGACCAGCTGCTGGAGGAAAGGGCCCAGCAGCCAAGCCACAGGAGCAG